CTGAGGTCCGTCGTGTAGGCGCGCGCCACGGCGCCGGTCTGGCGGACGACGTCGTCGGCGGTCTGCTTGTTGGGCTTGGGCGCCACGTCCGCGCAGGCGATCTGACAGCCGCGGCGCGCCAGCGCCAGCGCGAGGACGCGCCCCAGACCGCCGCCTGCGCCTGTCAGCTGCAAGACAGAGAAAACCAAAGACTTTAGTTCGATCGACAACTTCTAAGAAAGGTTCTGAATTCCTTTCTATTCGATACTTATTTGAAAGTGGGCTCACGCAGGACTGGAGTCGCCACTACACGATAAAAACAATGTCCTACTTTTTCGGGAAAAGGGGAAAACTTTGAACTTTTTTGTGGTTTTGCTGTCAACAGAACCTATTGCCCCACCCCCAAGTGAAGGAGTTTGTCTAAATTCATTTTACACGGCTGGAGTAAGAACCCTCTGGCTCAAGGCCAGTCCGAGTCGTTCACCTTGTTGACTGCCGTCAGCGGATTCTTACGTCCGCAGTGCGAACACAGCCAGCAATATTTAGCGAAAACAGCGAACACTATTATTGGAATAGGTCGACTCACTGAAAACTGGTTGGCGGGTTGGCGTCATTACACGGCAAGATTTGGCGTCCAGTGGTAAATGACGCCGAATTCTGGCATCTTTTGACGCCAATATGTGGCGTCTTCTAAAAGGACGCCGATACTTGACGTCAAAAGACGCAAGCCAATTTTTCAGTGCTCACCAGTACGACTTTGCCGCGCAGGTCCCTCTGAGGGCGTGGTCGGAGTGCGGCGGCCACGGCGACCAGGATGACGGCGACGACGACGACCAGCATCACGTCCATCTCGACGCCGTGTGGAGGGGCTCAGTGGCGCCGCACCTGCGCGAGTGGCAGGTAAGAATTAAGTAACAATATAGAATCAGAAACTTAAAAGAACAGGCACAATCGGACCAATCAAGAAAAGTGAAGAAAACAACAGGAAAAATCGATGTGGGCTTGATTTTACAGTCACTGTGAAAAATACCGTCGTAAATTTACAAAAAATAAATAAACTGGAATTACAATTAAAGTTGTAAATTTACGAAAGTATTTTTTTTTTTTTTACTCGCCAATGGATTTTAAGTCGATGCGTACTGCATGTTATGTTTACGATTACAAATTGTTATTTTACAACTTACGCCAAGGAAAATTTTCCCGTAAACCTTCCTAGTATTTTTCACAGTGAGTGAAGTAATAATTACTCCCCCGCGTGTCGGCGGGGTGCTCGGCGGTGGTCTTGTTCGGGCTTGAGGGTGCTGCTCCCGGACGGTGACGCTCAACCCTCGCGGTCCGGTACGAGCGGCGTAAAGCTGGGTTAACACTCTCGCCAGCCGCGCCGCCCGCGACTCACTGACCGGCTGGCGCTTGGCGCGCGGTCGGCGTCGAGCAGAATGCTCTTGAAATGTTAATGAAGGTCAAGCGTACTGGGTCGCTCGGTGCCGTGGCTCACCTCGCCCGCGTTAGCTTCAGACGTTCGGTCCATCCGGCGTCTCTACAATATGCATTTTTATCCTAGTACGCTCGCTCGAACAATGATTAGGTGCCTGAAGCCTGAAGCCTGAAGCTCGCGGCTGGAGGGGTACTCGGAACGCCCAACGAACGGGGCTTTCGCACATCCAGAATCGAAACTCGGATACAATCCCCAAAACGCCCCAAAATTGTATTGCTAAATTTCGATCGAAGTGAGCCATTGTGAAGCATAGAACTGACTCTTGGTATCCCAGGTAAATGAGGTCTATATATGCTTCATATATAGTTATATATGTTCTGTATATGGTAATATATGTGCGCATATATGACTACATATACTAGGTAGATGTACGCCAGACCACGTCTCGCGTAACAGGCTTCGCGATATCTCACGAAACACTGTTGTGCTGCGACGCGCCTGGCGTACATCTACCTAGGCCTGCGGCGCTGACACCCAAGTCGGGAAGCGCAAAAATGTACACAAAGATACGGGCCTCCGGCCCGTCAACTTCCCGTCACTTCGACTAAGCATGCAGGGTTGTACATTTTTACGCTTATTTTCGTCAAAAACTTCCTGTGGTGCCTAAATGGTTCAAGATAGAGCCAAACGGACGAAATTTTCGGTCAGAGGACTCTATTTTGATGAGCTGCCCCTAGGAAAACTGTAAAAAAAATATTTTAAAAAAACATTATTTGTGGGACCTGTGGTTTTTGATTTTTTTAAAATCCAATTTTTGAGCTAGAATGCTCTTCTTCGAACTCGATCTGTCTTTTTATGATACAAAACGACCCTGAAAATCCCATGTCGCTAGCTCAATTCGTTCTCGAGTTATCGTGATGACAGACAGACAGACACACAGACACACACACAGACAGACAGACAGACAGACGCGAAACTTTTTGATCATCACTGGAGTAATAGGCTTCGCTAATCGCTCAGCCAATAATCATATATGGCCATATACAACCCCATTTACCTGGGATTTTGCGAGGGAGTAGCTCGCTAGAGAGCGTCTCACTCGCTCTCTCGGTCTCGCGGACCATTCCGGGACTCGGGCCCCGTCGCTCACCTCTGGATCCTGGCGGGTTATTTACTTCATCATTTCGCCTCCAAAGCTTCCTTTGGGCAGCCCTAAACTTCGTAAGAGACCCGTCAAAGAAGTACTCGGAAGTACCCCATATCCCGTTAATATAGTTTGCAGGATTTTCTCAATGTTTTGATTCACCTCGCGGTTTGTCCTCCTTAATTCCAATTACTTTTGGTTAGTTTCGATAATATTCCACAAAAATGGCAATACGCGTCGCGTCATCATCTCCGACTTTAATCATTGTGTAGTAGCGATTTAGTAGGTAGTTTACCTGTTTTGCGACGCTAAAACCGACGTGGTTGAAATTTGGGCACGGCGGAAGAACACTTTGATACTCTCAGGTGGGCGCCTTTCTTGATGACGATGCGGAGACGACTGTCTGCCTCCAGCAAGAGCGTACGGAGTGCCTCCCGCCCCGCCCCCGCTTCCTGGCTACCCGGAGGGGGCGGTGCGGACGGATGGATGCGGGAGTCTGCCTCCTGTCGAATCGGCCTTGTATTTGGCTGCCTGGCACCCGCAAGTTGACACTTGTGGTCGAGAAACTGCTTTGCGGTGTGGGAAGGTCCGCGCACCAGCCGCTGCCACGCACCAGACGCGCCCGTGTGCAGGCCGATAGTTTTGAAAAGAGAGAGAGAGGGGGGTAGTATTGGGACAAGTGTTGAAGTAATAAAATAATGTCTCACTTTTTGAGGAAAAAGAGAGAACTTCGAGGGACTCCCAAAATTTGAATTTGACAGCAACTCCTCAGATTTTTAGGATGTTTCTCGTCAAAAAAATGAGGGGAATTCTCACATTTGTGCAGGAGATTTACACAAAATCTGAGAAGTGCTCACTTGGTGACGTAACGGGTCTGACGCGGCACGCAATTTTACAACTTGCCGCTCAGAAGCCAAACCCATTCTTCGATAGTCCTACTCTGGAAACCCAAGTGTGTACATGTATGCGTTATTTACTGAAGACCTATGTATGCAGCAAATAGTGTGTCCATGACCATGTATGCAGCATATACTGTGTACATAACCATGTATGCAGCCATGTACACACGTAGAGCTCTATGCTAAGCTATGTGCCGAAGTGTGTACCTGGCCATGTATGCAGTATTTGCTGCATACATGGTCAAGTACACACTATTTGCCGCATACATGATCATGTATGCAGTATTTGCTGCATACTTGTAGGTATTCAGTAAATAACGCATATGTACACACTTGGGTTTCCAGAGTAGAAAAAAATATTTTTCCATCACATTTACTCGTTATTACGCGTATATATAAGACACTACTTATCACAGATTGCAGACCTACTGCACGACGACTGTGGTCATAACTGTTATGCGCTAGCCGATCATCTGTCTTAGATCCACCTCGCGGTTTCTAAATTTCCTGTTTAGTGTAATTTATGTCCTATTTATCGATTCTGCGACGAGCTATGTCTTTGTGGCCACGTGGCCAGAGTAAATTAAATAATCTAGCTTTGCTGCTCGACGATGCTGATGCACGCGCACTTACTAGCCGTTTGCGTTTCAATACTAACGGAAATCAGAGATGTGCGACGTTTGAAATCGATAATGTTACGTTAATGATATCGCTGACCTCGTTTTGATATCGCTTTCTCACTCAGGGAATTGCGGTAAAAAACGTTGCGAGTGGGGTTAGGATGAGGCTCTGGCACCCATGCTGTCCGGTGTGGGAGCCATGAGCGAGAGCGCAAATGAGTGAATAAGTATCAACAGCAAGTCGTCTGACAGAAAAGTTATTTATTTCCAGTTTGGTTTAAACCAGCCATGACAAATTATAGTTGAGAGTAATTGTAAGGCAGCACTTTGCAGTGTGCTGCTTTGCATGTTTTGGCCTAGGGGTGAACATGAACAACTCAGCTGATCCGGAGACAGATGAATATATTACGCCGTAATATCGAGAATACAAGTAATATAAATATTACGAGTAATACAACTAATATCAACATATTACAAGTATTATAAGGTATTACAAGTAATACAAGGAATACATGGTACATAATACATAGTAATA